TGGTCGCTCAGAGAGGGAATGTCCATAACATGCCATTCCGACATTTGATTTGCTAATTGGGAAGAAACCATGGTTAAATCCGGCCAACCTTCCGCCCTTATAGTGCGAAAGGTGGGCGGTGAGTCTGACGTGTTTATGATGCTTAATCTGTTTGTCATTGCATATTCTAAAACCATTTTGCCTCTTACGTTTTCCACTCGCACCCCCCATAAGGGACTTGAAGCATTGAAATCACCTGCTAATAAGATTTGATTGTTCCCTTTTCTGACGACAGTGCTGATTTCTATTAATAGTGGATCGATTTCCTCATTTGGTGGAAAGTACACATTAGTAATTTGAAGGTGTCCCGTAGTTGTCTCTAGTTTAATGGTAACTGAGAGTGTTGCGTCTGAGATGTAAGGAGGGGAGATAGCGGACCATTATAAATTATGACAGCCTGTTGAGAGGTTGACTGGAACGTCTTGCTTGTGGGTGGAATTCCTGGCAGATGACTATGTGCTAAGTACGGCTCTTGTATGAGGGCGATATCCGCATTTTCCTTTGTCATAATATCCATGAAGTTAAGTGTTGCAGATCTAGCTCTCTGCAGGTTTGCTTGGAGAAACTGAGTCCTGTGACTTGTTGGCGGAATTGGTTACTGCCTACATCCGTTGTTGCTGTGTTTTGCTGCCTCGTTGCAGTTCCTGTCGGTACACAGGACATTTTGAAGAACTTGCCGGATGACTTGCGTCAAAGTCTGTGCTATTATGCGTATTGGAGTGAACACAATTCGCACAATTTTCCTCTTCTGCCGTACACTCTTGTGTTAAATGACCTTTTCCTCACGGCAGTTTATCAATTCACCATTCAACAAAAATCCTTTACTATATTGCCACTCTAATTTTTCGTGACTTAAATTTTATGAAAGCATTATTCGCTTATAATCCCTTACGGAAAAGGAAATGAAACCTATTTTCTTAAGTAGAATACAAAAGTATGTAATAAATTTATCAAAGATTTTGTTCAGAAAGTTGATTTATATTCATTCACACTAGGCAAACCCTTAAAATGCAAACGCGACAGATACATTTCTTTGCCCTGAATGAAATCACTGAATACAATGCGCAGTATTTAATGGAAATTAATCGGTATTAGTAATGGACAGAAAATTTATCCTCTTCTTATTTCTAAAATCTAAGTTTTTCTGTCTATGTTTAATAGAGTGCTGAAGAATTTTTGGTACTTACGTATTATCGCAACCAGGTTGGCGCGATTTGTAAGTTTGAGTAAAAAAGTATGGGCTGATCTTTAGAATATGGTAACTGGTAGTTTGGCGACATTTTGGAGGCGATAAAGGTTACTACCTGGGACTTTGGTAATAATGTGAGCAGTACTCAGTTCCGATTACGCATTATTTTGTGTGAGGGAAATGAGAGATCATGGGATATGTCATGTGATATTAATGGACGAATTACGGTTCTTTAATCGGAAAAGGGGGTGAATTTGGAAAAATATCTGTGGCTGTATATTATTTTGTATTAAGCTTCATTGTCTGTTATGTGAAGTAGGGTTGAATAATTTTGGGATTGTATGGCGCTGTCTAAAGTGAATTCTAGATGTGATAAAGAGAATTTTGCTTTTTATTTAGCGAAGGAAGTGTGGAGGAAAAATTCGCAGAAAAAATCGTTCAGTAATTTTATTGAATCCATAATAAAAGTGTATCCACCATGTAAGCAAGATTCTGAAGAAGATTAGGTAAGTTAGTATTTTTAATTATTTGAGGATATTATTTTTATGCATTGTTCTAAATGTAAGGTGGAAGTAAAGTAATTTGGTATTATTGGGAAAATTTGTTATTAGCAATGATTTAGTTTAAAGTAATTAGGATTGTAAGCTAATTTTTATTAATTTAATGTATCTGCTTATTTATATTTTAAGTAGTGCTTTTGAATTTAATTATATTTTAATTAAATGATAGTTATTTTGTGAATTTTATGTTTGTAGGAATTTGGTATACGTTTTAGTTGAAGTAAACGTGCATGGAAATAATTTAAATATTTGACACTAAGTATTTGTAATGCTTGCGGTATGAATTCGTTGGTGATGTTTATAATATAATAGATGATTTAGAGGTAAAAGTTTTTGGATATTTTATTTATTTTATATGTGGAAATGTTCATATTTGGAAAAGGTATATACTTTTTCGCGATCAGGTAATTTCATATATGTTCTTTTTACCGGGTTTAAAGATTCAGAAAATTGTCATGTATTTTTGTGAAATTTTTCTAATTTATGAGAAAAAAGCAGTGTACATGGATATAGTGAAGAGTATGCGCAATGCCATTTTGTGTAATTCTGGGATGTTTTTTTAAGTAAAAATAAGTCGACGTGTACATGGTTTATGTGTATGTGGTTATTTTGAAAAACGCGTAAGGAGTATGGTATTGTGCACTTTTTCCCAATTTGCAGTGAATATTTGTCATGATTAAGCAGTTTTGTTAGATAAAATTTCTAGCATAAGTGTAATTTGGCTAGTAGATTGTTGGAAGAAGTGTTCAGTAGATAAAAAGAAAAGAAACATGTCTTTACTTCGTGAAGACAAAATGGCGGCGGGAAAAAAAAATAGAGGGTTGCTGTAGGAGAGTTGGTCGCCAAATTTTCGTCAAAAAATCGCCAAGTTACCATAATCTAAAGATCAACCAAAGTATGAATAGAAAGAAAATGTACATTTATTAATTACAGATAATTTTTAATACAGTTTTTTATATTATTTTGTTTTAAAATATAAAATAGCAATTAAACCCTTCCGGTTTCGAATTTGAATATGTTGCAGAATTATTTTTTCGGCGGAAATCTTTTGGCTATTGCTTTTAGCACTGATTGAAAACCGTCTTCACCATTAACAGCTTGAGCTTGGCACCATATAAATTCGATAAGGTATGAGTCAAGATGATGACGGGCTGTTCCTCTCTGTTTTTTGTTGCGCCATTTGGCTGAGCCCCACATGCGCTCTACATGTTGTCTGTGAACACCCGTGTTGGGATCCACAAAGTTATATTTGTGATTAACAGTTCCATGCAGAAATCCAGCATTTTCGAACTCACTTGTATTATATCCTTTCCAGCAATCCGAATAAATGATGCTTCCTTCCTTGATATTTTCGAAAATTTTTTCTATGAGGGTAACGGCGCTTCTGTTAGGTACAGTAACCAAAAAAGTCTCTTTCTTTTCTCGGCAAATTCCGCCGAAAACCCATTGATGTGGTAGTACACGCCCAGTGTTATTTTTTCTTTTTACAAATAAACTTTCGTCTATTTGCACACACATAGGGTTGCCGTAAGTAGGGTCGCCAAATTTGGCGATTTATGCGAGTTTTGGCCTGGTTGCGTTAATACGTAAGTACCGAATTTTTTCTCAATTAAAATTGCATTCTTAAATCTTCTGTTCTAACAAAATAAAGGCGTTTCCATTATTTCTATTCAAAACATTCTCACTATAGCTACAAGTGAAGCAATCAGTCGCTGAGACTTTACAATTAATATTTTCAGGTGTGTCAGATCAGTTCTAAACTAAAACGACCGTTGCTTTTGATACATTTTGATATTAGGCCACAGACCATTATTCTCGACACATGATTTTGCTTTGATTCACTCTAAATGTCGTCCACTGCAAATGCGTTATTTCATTTTTCATCCGGTTCAGTTTCCATTCGGCAAAATGCAAGATATTAGTCTTTCGTCACTAATTTGTCTGTTACTGATGAACAAACTAAACTATTTAAAAGGAATAGATGCAGTTCCTAAGAAAATTATTTTTTATTTTGTAATCTAATTCATTTAAACAAAAATTAATTTAATTTATTGTGTATAGTATATCTAATTAAAAACATCCATTTATAGAATTACGTTATATATCTTTAAATGATGTATACCATTTCTATATTGGTCAAATTGTATGTTCATCTAGTATCTGCTTCACTATTTCCCATGAGCCATCTCTGTTGTTAATCTTTACTGATAAACCATATTAAACTCTAAAAGAGTCCTTTTGGGCGAATGTTAGAATTTGCACCATTTCAAATTCTTTTATTTATTGTTTACATCATTTGTTGGTTTGTGGATTAATAAATTTTTGACATATAATCTGTCGGTTGTCTGCACAAGACACGCTATATTATTTCTACTAAGTCATACATAATTTGAATCATACTATCATTACATTATCTCAAAATGCTTATATTTATAATCTCAAGTTTCTATTCTGCAGCAAAAATGGGTTCGCAGAATATAAGAAGCTGTATATACGCATTAAAAAATTATTATACATGCGAAAAACTGGGGACAGTTTTATACAGATAAAATCTTCTTGCAAAACAGCAAATTTTCCAATGATTTTTTAATATTTACTCTTGGGTACTTGCGGAAAATCCCGTCATTCGCAAGAGACAGTTCACAATCGCTCCAAACAAAAAAAAAAAAAAAAAAAAAAAAAAAATATTATTAAATAAACAAGAAAAAACGTTCTATTCTTATTTTTCTTTCAAATTTATTATTTATCATGTATTTATATTTAATTTTTCATTAAAAATTTCCATTATTTTTTATTAAGAGATTACTGTAAAAGCAATTATTTTCGCTAGGTTTTAATTTTCGGGAGAAAATATAAGTCTCACGAAATACATCTTTTTCGCCTCAAATAATAATAAAAAAATTAGAAATTTTTCACTTACCAAATTTCGCGAAATTTTCAGCTCGCGAAATCACCGATATCTTCATTTTCGTGAAAATTAGGCCTTGATTAATTAATTAAATATAATAATTTTGCGAAAATTAGGCCACGTAACACATGTAATCAACGTTACACCGAACCCAGCGTGTTTGTAGGAGACCTTTCCATTTTTGGCGAAAAATCGCGTAGTTTGGTGTCTTTCCTTTAACAGGCGAAAATGGCCGACGGGGTTTTCTGTAAATACCTATTCTTGCCTATTTTAATTTATATCAAAGTTACAGCTTTTATTTCAGGAAATCAAAAGGAATTCCATTTCATATTCTATGTTCTAAAACAATGCTCTGTTTGAAAGACTACGAAGACTACGCCAGGGAGCACTTAGATCGCAGAACATGGGCTTTTTACAGCCAAGGCGCAGAACGGGAAGAAACCTTCAAAGAAAATCTCAGAAGTTTCACAAGGTTTCTACTAAATCTTTTTTTAACTTCTTTTTACTATTAGAATTTACAGAATGCGGAGTATTGTATTCACCAGTATTATCTCTTCAAAGAAAGAAACGGGTGAATAGAAACTAATTTTCTGAATTTTCGTAAGGAAAAGCTGACACCCGCAGTACAAAAACTGACTATATATTTAATTTTAAAGTTTGAGGTTTTTAAAATTTCGCAGCGCCAGAAAATCGGTTAAATCCTCGAAAACTCGGTTAAAAGTAAATTAGGATGATACAAGGTTTAATGGTCTCCCCCCCTCATTGTCATACCAGTCAGTGCTATTCGTCTGTCGTTTACTAGTATGTAACATTCCTTAATTTATAATATTACATTTATAATGCGCTGTATTTTCACGGAAGTCATTTATAAGTTTCTAAATGTTAAAAATATATGAATATTCACATGCAGTTTTATCAGTTTAGAATCACCTTCTATCATAATCGATAACCATCGATTCTGCATATTTTATGCTACGCTTGTACGTTTTTACATGCCCCGTAAATTTACCCCTGCGCTTTGTGTGCATTTGATACAGTTTTCATTTGTGAAAGACTCATGTCTGGCAGATGATCACCTCGGTTATCAATACATTGCAAAAGACGGTTACAGACACTTTGCATGACGCCGTCAAGGAAATCCCGAGTTATGACGGCAACTTCCTATCTGATTTCTACCTGATTGACATTCTTCAGCTATGTTTTATCCTTCAAAATCCTTAAAGGAAGGCGTCTAAGACACTAAAGTCGGGAATTTGACGGGATACTGAAGATTATCGAAATGAGAAATGATGTGACTTTGAACGAACTCTCGTAATGCGTTTGTGCTGAGACAGCACACGGCGCTAGTGGCTCCGTCTTTGTTGGTACCAAAACGTAGTCGATAGTGTTCGCAATTCTGGAATGACACCCTCATGCACCACTTGAAAATATCGTTCTTCTGTTACTGCGTTTTCCTGGTTATTTGGCATTTTCAAAAAGGTACAGCCCGATACTCCATCCACGCCGATACCGAACCAAATTACGACACTCTGTTAGTATAGCTGCTTTTCATGTGTGCCTTGTAAGTTGGATGGCATCTACTATCGAAAGTTTGTTTTCTTGATATAATCTGTCAAGTGGAAGTTTGCTTCATCTGTTATCAGCAAGGATGAATAAACTGCTGATAGTTATCGAACATGTTATGCATGTATCACCGTGCGTAATTTCTTTGCCACGCGCAATGAATTGTTGCACAAATTATAATTTATATGAATGTAAATGAATGTCCAAACTTAGGATCCTGTGGAAGCTAACAATGTATTTCAATTTGTCGGGTATAATTTCATTATTCCAACGTAACCTTATGTTGAACATTGATAGTTCCGAACAATGGTTGGCTTCACGAACTCTATGAATGATCTCCCGTGTTTTCTCCGTAGGTGTTATTTGTTTAGCATATTTCCTCTAACATGCTAATAGTTCACCCATGCACTGATTGTCTTCCGATTAAGAATTTTCCATAGTCTTGGTTCTTCGGAAAATTCCTATCTAAAGGCATGCTTAACACGCTGAACTGAACCGATTGACTTGGTTTCAATAGACGTTTTTACGGAAAACACACACTATTGCACGGGCGAGTTTTCCGTGACTACTCGTAGTCAAAATTACAAAACTGCCTGAGCAGCATTTCCGTCATCTGGCCCGAAAATTATCAGTTTTTCAGACATAGTGTTTTCACAAATAATTGTACCAATCGCGCATATAGCGCAATAGTAAGGACTACATGGCATGCATGTAAATGAACAGGTCTACAAAAAAAGTGAAATAAAATATTTGGAATCTTTTCTAATATGATATACTTTTATGTAAGAATAAAATATTTAGAGAAAACGTTTGTTTACCCAAAATGAATGGATTGTGGTTCTGTATTTTAATGTGCATGCGTTCAGTTTTTCAATGTTCTTATTAAATATACCTGGCTCATTTTGCTAAAATTCGTAATGATATCGATTTTGAAGTAATACCATTGAAAGTTTTCATCACGTTATTTTGACTACTGCACTGAAAGGATACGTAATTAATTTCCTAAGCTCAGCATAAAGCGCTTATTTAAAAAAGAGGACGAAATATATCACTAAATCTTTTCAATGTTACTAAAATTAGCATTTACCTGATATCTTCTTACAATAAATTAAACGCCTTAAATCAAAAACTATCACTTTCCGAATATTATTATATACTAGCTTATATTTATGAAAATTCTATTACTGTAAAGGAATTAACAGTATGAAATAAAACTTCTTGATAGCAGGGTTTGACATGTAGGGGATTAGAAATGCACAGCAAACGTGCATGCCGCACCCAGCAGTTTACTCTAGACTGTTCTGTGGTACTTCTGAATAGGAGGTTGTTAATAATATAAACTAGATCGTTGTCAGTTAATTCAAAACTCTCCTGCAGAAGTCTCTAAACTACATCGATATGAAAAAACATTTTTAAACAAACTATAGAGTTTCACAGGAACACGTTAAGAACCTGAATGGATAAACATTTTCGTATCTCTAAAATGCTGCTCTTAAAGAACATAATGTTATGAACAGATGCAGAAAGAGTGTACTGAAGAGAACCAATCGAGTCGAAATTCTGATAGTTTTCTACAAAATGTGATGACACCCAAATAGACAGTTATTTCATCTGCATGGTAGTGACGAATCCTGCAACTGCTTCCCAAGTGTTAGCCTAGTATTGAATCTCTATTACAGGTACGATATGGTTTGCTTTTACGAACCAGCAACACATGCTTCGCAGAACCTTGCATATAAGCACCCCTTCACGAAGTATTCTTTTGATCAGGAAACGCGAAGGGTTCGGATTGTAATAAGAGAATTAAACACAGAGAATAGCTTGCAGAATTCTGTATCATACATTGCGTATGCATTAAAGTTACATACGAAATGTATGGGACAGGTGAGTCTGTTACTTTCCAATCTGCAGTGTTACATAAGACGAGAAACAAGCTTAATGATGTAGGGCAGCATTGGTACCACAGGTAAACTCAGCTGCTATGAATTCCAAAAGTTCTTAACAGCAAACCTTTATATCAGGAAAATTATAAAGGCTGAGACCACACTTTTTCTTCAGTACATTCTTGCACCATTCTCTAATAAGTAGACGGCTGGCGCCCGAAATGCCCAAGTATTCTTCGCTGTCTAGCAGATCCTGATATACCCTTTATCCAGATGTGTTGCTATTTGAACATATACAACTTAATGCTTGCTAACTGCCGATCACTCTCCTTCATTTCAAGAGTTTCGGATGAGAATGGAGGCTTTTGATTTTCCTCTTCTTCAAGAACCTTTATCCACAATTCATTGGTACTGTTTCTACTTCAGCAGTCAGTACCAATGAATTTCAGATTCGAACGGAAGCAGGCAGGCTTTATTATAAGACCACAAGTATAAAAGTTCTTATTTCAACTTCACCAAATATTGATTTGAGCCCGTTTAGATAATCATTTGTTGGTTTGAAACTTTGTCTATCTGCATCGCCATTGCTAATGTGACATTAATTTCTTTTTAACAGATAGTTACTTCATAGTGATGAAAATTACACGTATATGATTGTATCTGAATTATCTAATGTGGTAAAGAAAATTAAAACTCTTCTTCTTTCAATATACTATAAATATATACTTGATCTATTTGAGTATTATTTTACTATTTTAATTATTTTTCCATATATGTGTTTTAATGTGCATATTAAGTCATTAGAGAAAATAATAAATCTTACATATTATATTCCTAACGCAATTCTAACGCTTAAGTTTGCTATGAGCCTTTGCAATACACTATTTATCTTGAGAAAAACATTTAAGCATTCCGTAATAGGAACAAAAATTTAATATCTCAATCACTAAAATTGATATCAGATTGAAATTATAGTACTTAGCTTTTCATTTTGAAAGGGCCTATCATAAAGCGAATTTGAATTTCTTCATAGGAAATAAGTAGTGTGGTGTGTGGTGTATTTAATTATGGCAAAGCACACTAGGGCTATCTACCTAAGGGGAGGGATGCCTTCGTGGAGGACTTTCTAAGGTAAACTGGCTCGTATACACGTTACACATAGGGAAAACCACGAAAACACCCATGTAGCCAAGCCCGTTCGCGGGATTCGAACCTCGGACCGAACTACCAGTGTTCAGCGACTTTACCGCTCGGCCGCTGTTGGGCCTCATAGGAAATAAAATTAAAAGACTGAGTTTATTTTATTGACAGAAGTGTAAAAATATCTAAACAATAGCATATTTAGATGATGTATTATGAGTTTAATATCGAAGATCTGCAAAAAGCTTAAATGCGCAAAATATTTTAGTAGGAGTTTAATATGTATCAATGTTTCTGATATTTTCGGAATAATATGTTTGCAATTAATTATGTAGGTTAAATTTGTCGTACATTTACAGCACAAATTGCTTATTTTTCCTGTTCGTTTTTAGTCAGTATTTATGCCGCGAGGGAAGCTAATTACTATTCCTTCTCTTTAGAATTCAAGCATGCACTGTATCTAAGCATTTTTGAGAGTAACATTAATTATAGTCTATTATCATTACAGTTAGAATTTAATACTGAATATTGTTTTGATAATATTCTGAACCATATGTACCATTCTAGAAGAAAATATTTTACTGCTTTTGTTCATAGATACACATTAATACCCAGAATGTTGCGCAATAAGAATAGAAGAGATCTGTCTGTAACTGTCTTAGGAGAAAGGATTTCTATACCAGTTGGCATTTCTCCTACAGCGTACCAAAGATTAGCACATCCAGAAGGAGAAATGGCTGCTTCTAGAGGTATGCTTTATTTGTGAAATCTTTATTGTTGTCAGGTTTCTTTGTATGTTAAACGGAGCAAAAAGAAGGTTAATTGAAAGATTCATATTTTTTCCCTTTAAAATAACAATAAAATATTTAAATTCCAGTACACCTAAATCGTCCTTTGTTTGTTTTTAAATGAGATTTCGGATTTCAAAATCAACACTAATTATTATTAGTGTTGATTTTGAAAAGTAATAAAGCATCCTTAACGAAAATGAAACCATATTTAGTTGAATTCTGATTAAATGAAATAAGAGTAATAAAGCATCCTTTACGAAAATGAAACCATATTTAGTTGAATTCTGATTAAATGAAACAAGACTTCGATGGAGAAAACATTGAATCGATGACTTCAAGACCTTAGGCAGTTTCACTTTTTAATTAATATTTTTTTCTTTTTTTTATTAGCCCAAAGGGCGTTAGCCCAGTAGGGCTAATAATTTCGTTTTGGCATTTTGCGATGAAAACTTTAAATGTTGCTTCCAAACATTATCAAATTGTTGCCACCGAAACATTAAAGCCCTGTATTGTATTTAAAGAAATTAAATAATGAAGAATCTGCATAAACGTATATATGTTTCTTGCATTGTGATAAAACAACCTAGAGACATCAAATTTTGAAAAACGTAATCCTCCATCGAATATGGGCATTTTGAAGCCCTAATTTGGAATTTGTTTTATTACCTGTTTCATATTTTGTAACACTTTGACGAATTTTTGATTAACAAACTCAACGATTTCAAAGCGAGCAATGGCAACACTGCACGAAAATAAAAAGAACATGATATTTAATAATTAAAGGTAACACACAAAAGATTTAAAAAAGTCCCTTTAGGCGTAATATAAAATCTGAAAGCTTTCAGATTTTTCTTTATAGTTTCTTAACAAATGAATACAGATTCTACATCGAAACTAAGAAATCTGATTATATTAATCCTATGCGCAAAATAAGTGTGTGAGAAATTGCCGATCAACAGATAACTCTGATGTACACTCCTCATCAATCTTTCGAGACTTGTTTCGGAGTGATGTAAGAGGATAAATTCTCATATTATTTTGAATAAAAATAAATGAATGTACGAATACATGCTTTTCCTTAATGTCCTAACATGCACTTGTTTCTAGAATTAGCTTCTCAATGTAATTATCATGGTTGACCCCAAAAGATGCCTGTAGTTTACGTCTCAACGCATATTTTTCGATACGTTTCCAGTAAAAAAAACATCAGCATTTAGAAATAATCCTGAAGCCAGGATCTTTACATAACATATGTATATGCAAAATGTATTGTGAAACTTTTACGACCCTAGTTACGAGTTTTGATATCCCTCATCTTTCTTGACTCTTTCATAAAAACTTATCGTAGCAGATCCCTTATCTTGGTGTGATTATCAACAAAACTCTTCCCACACATTACATCTATTATCCAAAAGTTTCGAGTTCGTAAAGCTAAACTATACCCTTTAATTGCTCGAAACAGTGTTTTATCTATTGACAACAAGTTACTCATTTATAAGTCCGTTCGTCCATTACTATGATATGCTAGTCCAGTTTGGGCCTATACCAAAAAATGTAATAGGGGAAAATTATAGACTTGCCAAAATTCTGTTCTTAGGCAAATAGTTAAAGCGGAGTGGTATATTCGCAACAATAGAATTCATGAAGAACTGGGTATGGCGTAACTACGCTCACATTATTATACACTTGCTAAAAGCTTCATTGAAAAACAAAAAAACAATTAACAATCCGGCCATTAGATTTGCAATTATGACTACAATGACCTAGCAAATATGGACAGGCCCATGGCCCAAATGAATGTATGTAATATTTATTATAATGCCTTTACGGTTTATGTTAATCTTCTCTTATTGTATCTGCTATGCTTATTGTATCTTTTTAGTCTTACGTTCATAGAATTTATTTCTTACTTATCGGATTCAAATTACCAGTGTTCGCCTAATCTTGCCGCATTCATTTGACATCGCTTTACACTTTAATTAGAATTTCCTAACTTCTGGCTTAAATATAAATTCTAAATTCTGAATTATTCATTTTAAAAACTTTATTATAAAAAACAAATTACCTTAGATATCTTTTAGGTTATTTCATCATACCATTCGCAATTTGCAAACTGTTCTACAAGGGGTAGAGCCTTGTCGCTCAGGTACTCTGGTGTACCAAACACCTTTCCACGGAGGAGATAAAACTTATCGCCCGATTCCTTAATTCTTCATTGAATGAAACTCGTCTTCAAAGAATTTTAGAATTAAATCAACTTGAATTTAGATACTTCCTCACACCAGACAGCATAATTAGTTTTTAGACAATACTGAAAAATAGCAATATCATACAAAGCTATAATTAAGAAGTAATTATATTTGCTTTGGGAACACTCAAGTATTAGTTTTTCTATTTATGTGCATAATTAAGGAAGAGAATGTAATACATAATTTTGTATTGCACGCATGCATAAAATCACTACAAATTTGACAATATTTTCATTTCCTCTTTTAGGTTGTATTATTAATATGAATTACATGATCAATTGTGAAAAATTGTTTTGAATGTTTTTTCAATAACATGTATCAGTCGGTTGTTTTTCATATTCAGTCTTAAATCTAATAATTTATTCCTATAGCTGCAGGAGAAATGAATACTATATATGCCCTCAGTACTGTATCAAATACATCTATTGAAGAAATATCAAGACATCGGCAATTCCATTCCCCTTTGTGGATGCAAATTTTACCTCTAAAAGATCCACGTTTTACTAAGGAGTTGATTAAAAAAGCCGAAGCACATGGTTACAAAGCAATAGTATTGACCGTCGATACACCTGTTCCAGGTTTGCAGCTCAAAATGTGGAAGAATGGTTTAGCAATGCCGCCACATATAAGGTAAATTGTCTTTCATAATTAAAAAGCACAAAGCACTTAATTTTTTCTTTTTAAGTAAAATGCTAGAAGTGCAGCATTTTATGAGACTGTAGCATAAATATTTTAGTGGATTCAAACTGCGCACTGAAAAATTAGTTAAATTGCGCTATAATTAAACAAATTGCGCTATAATTAAACAAGTTAAATTATTACATTAAACCCTCATAAATGTATATCTAAAAATATTTGAATTATTTATCTACTTTCCTGACACAAAGTGTCACAGTACCTAATGCAAAGTAGTATCTTCTTTACCAGTAGCGTCACTTATACACATCGCATCATTTTATAATTTCACTTGCGCATTTCATTTTTCAGTAAAACTCATTATCTCAAGAGCATCAGTGATGTGATTTCATTATAACATTCTCTTAGCTTGAGACGTTTACTCATGTGCTTAACATTTATGGTGAAATTCAGTTATACTAATAATATTGTCGACAGAGTACAAGTTAACTGCGAAAACAAGAAACTGTACAAATATCAGTACTAAAATGAAACTATGCACTATTATAAGAAGGTGTCTGATCTCTCAAGTTGAATTAAATTTTAATCAGAAATATTAGAATAAACACGTCAAAACATGCCAAAATAAGTAAATCTGTTAGACTGAAATGAGACTGGTTGTATTATTATGCATTTTCGTTATAAATATTTGTACTGTGTAACATGTTACTTTTCCCCATTGCCAGGTTTATCTTTGCATATACTGTACTTGCACGCTATTTTACTGACAACCGTCCTCTGAAAGGCATAGCACATTATTGAAACTGGTTACATGTTTTTTTCAGTTTTTTTCTCATGTGCTTTTTGCTGAAAATTACAATCATGTCCATAAATTAAGGATAATTCGGAAAAGCGGAAATCGAACTCTAAAATAAATATATCACCTGTAAAATCACTACACACATCTTCAAGAATCATATGCAAATTTCAGGAAGTAACCAGATGACACCGACGGTACGTCACAATTACGAGAGTGTAAGAGAGTGATATATAAGAAATACAGGCAAAGAAGTAAAATTGTTCGCAGGCGCTTTATAAGCATTTCAGTGCAATAACTGAATAGTTATCACACAAAGGACGCATTTGGATGATTTTTTACGTGGTAGAATTATCGGCCGTGTGGAATGTGGGCGTACCCAACTGGAAGTATCAGACGAACTTGGAATTGCCCAGAATGTCATCTCCAGGCTTTGGCAACGATTCCAAGATGATGGTAATGTGAGTAGACGTTACAGCACAGGTCGCCCCAGAGCTACAACGCCGAATGAGAACCGGTATTTGGCAGTTACTGCCAAAAGAAACAGGCGGAGCACAGCCTCAGACTTGTTTCGTCAGCTCTCTTCAGCCACTGGTATGACAATTTCAAGGCAGACCGAGTACAGACGCTTAGGGCAGAGTGGCCTATATGTTCGTAGACCTGTCAGATGCGTTCCACTTACTGCAACGCACTGCCGCCTGCTGTTAGCCTGGAGTAGAGAGCATGCATTGTGGACACCGCAACAGTGGGCTTGTGTGACGTTTTCCGACAAGTCCAGGTTTAGCTTGTAGTCTGAGTCTCGCCAGACTTTCATATGGAGAGCTCCAGGTACCCGTTACCACCAAGAAAACATCATTAAACGACACCGTTACGGTGGTGCAGGAGTGCTCGTTTGGGGTAGAATTATTCTGGGTTCCAGAACTGACCTGCATATTAAAATTGGAACCATGACAAGCCAAATCTATTGGGACGTCATTCTGAAACAACATGTACGTTTGTTTCAGGGAGCCATGGGCGCATAATTTGTGCTATGGATGACAACGCCCGTCCTCACCGTGCAAACATCGTAAGAATGCCTTCAATGGGAGGATATCACCCGTATAGACTGGCCAGCATTCTCACTGGACTTGAATCCAGTAGAGCACGTGTGGGACATGCTTGGCCGACGAGTTGCAGCCCGTCAACCTCCTCCTACATGTCTACCTGAACTTCGGAGAGCATTGCTTTTTGAGTAGTGTAATCCCCCAAGATCAGATCGATAGTTTGAAACTCAGCATGCGTAGGCGTTGTACGGACTGTATTGCATCGTCTGGGAGACATACAATGTATTAACAATCATACCAACCATGTAATATTGGTTTTTTGTAAATAGTTTTTTTTTTTTTGTAATTTGTTCCAGGGAGAAAAAATCGCTAATTTTTTTTTATGATATCAAACATAGAGCATCTTTTTTGCTCTTTACCTTTTGTTTAATAAATAAGCTTTACAAATAAGTCAAATGTGTTTTGCTTCTAACTCTTCCTTTTCCTGATTTTGAATTATCCTTAATTTATGGACATGAATGTATAGTGATAGATTAAACTATATTTATTTATTTAATTTCTGACATTAAATTATATTGTCTGGAAACTATATTTATTCATATACGCTTTAAGTGGCTTATATGTCCAGTTACTGGTGCGAAATAAAATAAGAATGGTACAGGCAAAATTAAGCGTATCCATATCAATCAATAAAATGCACAATAAGCAAAAGAGTAGAACAGTAATTTATCTTCTTTCCTAGCTTTTTGATCCACAAAATTTGCATTGATTCTTTTATGACCTTGTGAGACTAATTACGACTCATACCCAGATTTATATACAACACTGAGCTAACACCGTTTTAATCATATGCAAAAATATCAGCAGATTCTTTATCGCATAGTTCAGGTTTACACTTGAAATATGTCCAAACACGAACTTTTGTAAAAACACGCACCAACAGATTCTTTAAACACAGCATTCAAAATTTTACTTATCCTTAATAATAGGTGAAGTTGCATTTGAGAAATTTATTTTCAATTTGATTTGATTAGTTTTTCTTTGTACATATCATAGTTTAGTCTGAATCTAAAAAAGGCTAAGTTTTTTAATCTATTTTTTAAATTAAAGAAAAATTGTGCGAAGATGTGTAATTTATAACCCTTAAAATGTGTATGTATATTTTTAGAAGCATTTCTAAAACGTGTGTCCCCCAAGGGATCTATATATATTTACGTGTGTGAGTGTTTAAATATTAAAAGAGCCATGCATTCAAACTTAATGCAAAAGGAAAATTCATGTCAAATCTGAATCTCAGGCTTATCGGTATCACTGAAATTTAGTACGCTTTCCACTTCATACATAAAATATGAATTGACTTTTACCTACAAATAATTCAAATCTTTTCTCTTGAAAATAAAGAAATTTTTCCTTTCCCTTTACCCTTTTTCTTTGTTTCATTTACATGAAAATTACATTTAAGTAACAGAAGAACAGATGCCGATGCTGCACATAATCCATAATTATTTTTAACGAAGACCAGAAGTGATGGCCATTTTATAATGGATTCACCATTGCCTTTTATGAAGGGACAGATAATTTACGCTCACGCCTTCTCCGGGATTCGAACCCGGGTCCTTCGGTACGGCAACTAGAGTCACTGACCTCTTTTTCGTCTGTGAGGTAATAATTAATTGTAAATTAGGAATATGGATTAAATACAAAGAATTAGTAAAAATATTTTGGGGACCAAACTTGTAAGAAACTACGACTCTTTTTACTTTACTTTACGTCTTAGGAAATGCAATTCATTCGCTCTTCATATAAAATCAGGTAACAGAGTGAAGCCCGTAGAGCGATGCTGCCTTTGACAAGAATAGAGAAGCATCCCTTGGAAGTTGAGTTAAATTAAGACCTTTAATTTATTAAACCCATTTCCTTCAAGCACTGCAGACTCTGCACTGCAGGCTTGCCGTTCCGCAAAGCATAAGATCTTTATTTTTTCTTTCGAATTTAATTATCCAGTTATTAATTGATAAATTGAATCATCTAAAAGCAATAAATGTACGTTTTAACAGCCTAATTCAAGTAAATACAAATGCATTTAATTAGTAATACAGTAATAATTGTTAATTCATACTTCCCTTCGTCGCTTCGGAAACTCATGATAAAATTATTATAAGCAATACAGCGGAAGATTTGTAGAGCAGTACATAAAGAATTTCTCCATGTTTGCGTCTAAAGGCACTGTTACGTTACTTTAGACTTTGTATCTGATGATAGTTAAACGCAGCCTGGTATTCATGACGAACATGAAACATGCTGCACCTCAGAATTTCTTAAATGTGAATCTATTGTGTCGGTGCCTTAGAAATTTCTTGTGAAATGTCAAACAAAAGCGCCTTTCTAGTCAAGACAATTCGTGCGTAGTACAGGTTCAGGAAGAATGCTTGTACAATGTAAAACGAGCGAGACAGTCAAGACAATCGCTAAGTCTGCTACTTTATCAGAAACTATATTGGACTTTTATGTGCTAACACGTAACTTTTTATGGTATTTATTACGATTATTGCTTTAGAAATTTTCGCAATCTCGAAAGGCATCTTGCATATGCAACTGAAAATTTTAACCCGAAAGAGGTGTTAGTCACGATTGCGATACTAATCTCGAAATGGTAAGCCCAATATAATTGAATTTTATTAAACTGGCGAGTACTAGGCCTACGTTGAATCACTATAAACGGGTTATTACTTTTCAAATTGTTGCCACCAAATATCATCGCCCTATAGTATATTTAAAGAAATTAAATAAAGAAGAATCTGCATGTTTCTTGCATTGTGAAGAAATAGCGGTACCTAGAGCCCAAATTTTGAGTAACGTAGTCCTACACCAGAACATAGAAACCTGGAAGCCCAAATTTTGAATTTTGAATTTGTTTCTTAACGAATCGTGAATATTTGAAACCTTTCAGAATTTTATTTTTTATGAATATTAAAGGTGTTTCTAATGTCATGTGTAGAGTAAGTGGTACAAAGTTCTTTCCCTTATTGAGTATGTCTAATACTTTTTAAATTATTCAAACCTTCTTTTTTATTTTATTTTAATATTGTGAAAAATTTATAGGTAAAGTTTTGAGATAATAGCTATAATCTAAAATCTTCCCAAAATTACTATTTTCTTTTATTATTACTATTCCTAGGAATAATAGTTATCGTACTCATTTGCATACCTTATTTTAATTCCCATACGTAATTCATTATTACTTTCTTGCGAATAATTCTAGCCTATTTATTCATCTGCAAAATTCCACCCTGTCCAAAACGGCCATACAACAACATACCAAGTAAATGTTAAAAGTAACTAAATTGCCTTACTCGTACTTTATTTTTTTTTTACCAATGGCGAGCTGTCAGCCGACATCGGCTTGGCGACTACTAAGGGCAGAAGTGGTGGTCACTATTATGGAGGCCCCTAATAGGTGGGCCACATTTGCCTCTTATGAAAGAGCGGACAGTTACAACCATGCCTTCTCCGGGATCCGACTCTGGACCCTTTGGTATAGCAGTTGGCTCACCTGACCACTATACCGTCTGGGAGGCTTAACAGTTATATTATTTGAAGGTTTATGTCTAGATTGCAATGCATCGTAACTCCGTCAAATTTACCACCAAGTTTAAATATTAAGAAAAGTTTGTTACCTTTGCTGAAAAAGAAATATTTTTACCTTAAATGCTTCCTCAGATATAAGCAAGCATATCAAACAAATATTCTTACAAATTTTGTAAAAATTACAGCATTAAGAAAATACTTATTTTTTTCAACCATTGTAATCTATGCTTTCTGTACTGCAAGAATTTTTTTTTCAGTGAATAAAAAAATTATTACAAAATAATAAACTGAAAACTGAACTATAGTAAAACCTTAAAATAACTTTTGCTGGGTTTAGGAAATAATACTGTATATTTTTACGACCAACAGGAAAGTAATTTAATCTATCACAAAAGCAAAAGTATGGAATTTCTTTCTTTGCGTAAATATTCAGTTTTCTGCATTTCACACGGAAAATCATGAAATAAAACGAAATACCACTGCAGAGATTATATGAATTTAATACAAAGTGAATATAATTTTCTTTTAAAATAAACAGTAAAAACTACAAAATTTAAATGTTCGGAATTTTTCAGCATGTTTTAAAATTATTGAAAGGAACAATGTCAAAACAAATTGCTTTTTTCATAAGAATAGGAAATTAATGATCAGGAGATTATGAAAATTCCTCTTATTTTTTTATCTCTAATTAATCATGGCTTATTTCTTCAGTCACCTACACGTAGTAGGAAATAATTAAGTAATTTAATTATTGATTTAATTTTCGTACCATCTGGACACACTGCCCACATATACGCATTAAAATTAAAACAACTGTTACACAACAAATAATCACAGCTTTCGCGTTATGTTTCTTCAAACAATACTTTGAAAGCAAATATTCAAAATCACTTATTTTTTTTTATTTTCAGAAAATTTACAAAAACTCATCTTTTAGGTGTTCCAATCAACAATTTTTAATAATTAAAAAACCAGCACCAAGCTCATCGAACAGCGACGAATAATAAACATGATTTAAAAATGTTTAAAAAGATTTGTCGAGTTTAGCAAGCAAGAAAAAAAACTGAATTGTAAATTAGGTTTTTTGCGATTTAATTTCTTACAGAGGATAGCTATTTAAAGAAAAGGAACACAATGAAAGAAAACCAAGCGAAATATATATTTCATCATATATTATTAGCAAATTTGGCGACATTTTTTGGCAGTATACTATGTTACAGAAACTAGCTGATTTCAGCATTGAAATTATGCATCGCCTTTTTTATATTTCAAAATTTTACTAACTTGCTCCTTCCTGTGACAGGGATATAATGTATACATGTAGCATTCAGTTCCATTTTGCACATTTAATAAATTTGTTGTAAATTGCATTTAAAAGTTTATCTTCTATATGTGGTTTATTATCTTTGAAAAACATTACGTGTTTTACTGGTTTTTTACCCCAAACCTTTATTAATCTCATAGCGAACGCACATTTGTAATTTTAGTACTATGTTTGGCCTAATTTTTCTGATATAGTAAAGAATAGAATTCATCATATTATCGTAATTAAATTAATAAAAATGTCCTTGTTTTGAAAATTTTAATTAATCAATTTATTGAACATCTGACTGGTTATGATCGTAAATTTATGAATAAAAATGAATAATAGAAGATAAATGAAAACATTATATACGATGCATAATGAAACTTCTTGAAATAAAATTTAATTTGGCAGCTGCATTTGGCCTTTTGTCAGTAAATTTCTAGAGCTTAAAAATGGAAATTAATATTTGTAAGCTGATGTTTTTCTAGATGTCTATATATTTCTTCATATTTGGCAGTAAACTAAAGTTATGTCTTGCTCGCCCTAAGCAGCACTGTCACACAAATTTCCTTATACATTTTGCCAATTTTCTAGCCATTCTATGCAAAATTTGAAAAAAAAAAGGCGTAAGTAGTAACCGCGCGGCGCAAGTGACGTCACAGAAAAGGGCGTGGTCTCCACCATCTTGGATCATGTGACAACCGGAAGTGACGTAGATGGATGGAATGACATCATCAAAGTTTCGTTTTTATTTTGTAAGACAAGAAATGGATGAACAAGAAATGGATGATGTCATTCCAAACACGTTGTTCAAGATACCGTTACCATAAACATAAAAATTGTTCGTTGCCATAAAAAATAAAAACTTTGAAAAATAGGGTCGTTGCCACAAAATCAAAACGAAACTTTGATGATATCATTCCGTCTACGTCATCCCATCCATCAACGTCACTTCCGGTTGTCACGTGATCCAAGATGGCGGAGACCACGCCATTTTTCTGTGACGTCCCTTCCGCTGCGCGGTTACCTCCGGTTACTACTGGCGTAGAAGGAATGAAATTTTGAGTAGAAGGAAAGAAGTAGTAAATATCAATGAGCAACATTCGTGCTAGATGGCTCAAATTTTTACAGCTCTGTGCAATAAATTTGAATAGAAATTAAATCGAGTTACATACGAAGCTAGAGAAATAACAGATCTAATCAATGTTGATGCTGTTAAGCGTTCAAAAAAAACTTAAATAATTTAAGAGAATTTAAAAGAATGAACTTAATGAGATAAATGAGAAGAAAGTATCAGAAACCTTTTAACTAATAAAGGACCCAAACCGTTTATAATTTAAAGCTCAGAAAATAAATATAACCTGTTGAACAGCATATAAATCTAACCTGATGAATAATATATTTAATTAAAGCACATATAATTATAGAAATCATATAAGAGGGAGCTAACATCTACTGATGCGTTTATCTCAAACAAATAGTACTCTTCAATGCCTATACATCAGTATTCTAAATAAATATAATTCTGTTTTAAATTACAGAGTAATAAGCAGATATTATCTTTACTATAGTTTCGAAGTTCTCATGTAAATATAACCGAAAATATAGACAATCGTTTTCATATTTTGGAAAAATAATTTTTAAAAAGAAACAAAAAAAAAATCTCAAAATTTTCAAATTTTAATGGCTGTTTTAAAGTTTAATATGGTTTATCGGTAGAGATTATAAACAAAGATGGCTCAGGTGAAAGAGCAAAATATTTTATAGGATACTAGACTATACATTTAGACTTACATGGGAAAATTATGTTATCTTCTGTACGTTTGAAAGGAGGAAAAGTATATAACGTTAACTATCAAGTTATTTAACGTTTTTTCATTAGATATATCATGAGTTGAATATATTTTTATTTAAAACCAGATTAAAATAAAAAATAAAAAATATTCTTATGAACTGTATCTATTGTTTCTAAGTGGCTTAGTTTGTTAATAAGTAACAGAGGAATTAAATTTGAAACATAAATATCTTACATTTTCTCAAATGGCAACTGACTCGAATTAAAAACGAAACAATGCATTAAAGTGAATCAACTCAAAAACGTGTTTTGAGATTAATAACCCTTTGGGGCTGAAAAAAGCATATTTGAAAACGCAAAAGGTCAGCAATGTAATATCACAAGCAATATTTTAATGTTTCTAATTAGATATATCATAAAATAAGGATATTTTTATTTAACTGAATCAAATTCAAAAGTAAAAGCATGCTATTTTTAAGAACTGCATGTATTGCTTTTAAATAACATGGTTTATTTACCAATAACAGACAAATTAAATTTGAAAGGTTTACATCCGAATGGCAATAGACTTGAATGAAAAGTGAAACAAATCAAAATCGTGTTTCGAGACTAATTGCCCTCTTAGACTAAAAACTGAATCCATTATACTTACTCCGTTCACTTCTTCGATTTCGGCTTTTATGTTCTCTTTTACAATTCCGTTATAATGCAAAAATTACCTGTATTTTTTTTTTCATTGATATAAAAACTTTTCTAAATGTATTTTATGTTAAAAAGCATTTTACTTTAAGTTGCTTATTTTCACTAAACGTGTGTGAAACTATTTTTGAAATTGAAAAATTTCACCTGTCTCATGTATGATTTTGAAACAGTCAGTTCTTTTAGTTGATACTTAACCTTTCTGTCTTGATGATGACACGGAGTCAAACATTCATCAGATATAAATAGCTGCTATTTTTCACCATATAGCAGAATTTTATTTATCAAAGATAATGCGCAAAATTGCCATTTTATAAGCAATAAAGAGTAAGACAAAATCAGGAGCCTTGTGAACGGCAATTCATCTTTAATTAGATTTGCACATAAAATGCTTACCTATTCATGCAAAATTTTAACAAAATTCAATATCCCGATGAAATTCTCTTTGCTAAAAGTCTTTTAGAAGAAAGAATATAGCTTTACGCTTAAAAAATTATTTCAAATTTTTAGTTTTTTGCTGTATTATAATAAACAAAATTTCTATATTCTGTGCTAAAATTCAATAAGTTTAACTTTATTTTTCAGTATTCCTAACGTAGCTGATGCAATTAAGAAATTAAATGACGATGCTGAGTCCTCCGATCATGTCCGTAATGTGGATTTCTTCGCCGACACTCTCACATGGGAGGACGTGTCTTGGATCAAGAGCATTTCTTCTTTGCCCCTAGTTTTGAAAGGAATTTTAACAGGTTTTGTTTTTACACAAGGCTATTTTCTTGTTCGTTTCTTGTAGAAATATGTATGTACTTTACGCTTATAGTTTTCAATTCGGCTTATTATCAAATTGATGCATAATAAATACGTTATATGGGGCATATTTCATCAATAAAAATAATGTCAAGATTTTTCATAAAAATCATCTGTTACCGGTAATATACATTGAAAGCACTTTATATATTTCTAATCTGCATACAGACAAACCTCATTACAAGTCACAGAAAATTACCTTTCAGCAAATGTTTTAGTACTTATAAGGTAGTTCTCCCCGCCTTCTTAGCGTGGTCTCGTGATGTATTTCCTGTTTCCTGCTTTCAAAAAATACCTAATGTCGATACATCCTAAGCCTCTTACAGTATAAGTGAATAAAATGCTTAAATAAATGACATTCTCACTAGTCTTCAAGTGTCAATTTTAAATAATTTATATTACGGGATGAAATGTAGGTAATGCATGTAATTTTACAGTATAGAAAAATGCTTTTACATTAATATTTGAATACTTCTGGAGCAGCTATTGATCATTTTTACTCAGTTTCTTGCAAACATTCGTTGTCTTTTGATGTTTCTTCTTAGCAGGTAACATCAACTGTTTGGCAATATCCAAACTCTCTGAAACATTCGCTTTAATTGGTGTTTATCGAGAAATTTTCTCGCAGTCAATTTCGGTGGCTCTATCGTTAATTCTGTAATAAAACATTTGACATATGCTATGATTTTGGCAAATACTTCGTCGTTTAAAATAATCGGTGTTAAAGTAATGGTCACCATCCATCTGTATGGTTTGCCTCTACTTGACTTTTTCTTGCAAAATTTGAGCAAGGGGAACTGTATCCTGTATATAAATCTTCTTCATAGTTTTCAACAGAAAATACCTCAGTTTTGAAACTATTTTCAATGCTTTTGGATGAAACGTCACTTTACCGCTTGAAAACTGACATAAAAAAAATAAAGGACGTAATAACTAGGGACCTTTCCTCGCTGCATTTGGAATTCAGGATAAGTCCTTTTTCCAGTGCGACATTCCGGAGACATGAATATTAGCTTAGGTACTTCCATTTCTTTGATTTAGACGTTATCTCCAATAACAGAGACTTGATTTCTTATTGATTGTTTCTAGATAAAATATAGCTGACAAGAGGTAAGCAAACTGCCAGCCACCTGAAATAGACAAAGACTTGTAACTTAATATAATAGTCAATCTTGATAGATGCTGAGATAGTCATAGCTGTGATCGAATACGTTATATTCTGGGTTGAATTTAATTGCGTATTGAATCAATTTTTAACAATTTTCCCAATCCTTGATGTGTACTCCTTTCGTAACTAACAGTGAAACTTTGCTGCTAAGAATGTGATTCTTCAACCTGCGAAGAACAGAAAGAAACATACATGGTAACAGTACGAAAGACTTTTCTTTACCTCAACCTCTCTATGTTATTTCATTGCTATTCACCTGTGAAATGACAAGTTGAAATCTTTCGTACAAAACCAATTATATTTAGTTTCTTTTCTTTTATTAATCCTTATAACAAGAAATAACGACGTACTGCAAATTACCATTTTTGTACAATTATTTGATTTAATAAAATGATGTAATTTACAATAGTTTCTACCCGATGACTTGAAATAAAATTTTTCTAGAAGTTATATTAAAAAATCCGGTTGAAGATCTCACTATTTTAAAGTACGATGTTTTAAACTCATTGGCTACTATTAATAACTAAAATGTGATGTATTTGGCCAGTTTTGATATCATATATATCATACTGTAATTCCTTTGTACAAATACATTTAGTATCCTATATATTTTAATTGATATATATTTAAAGCTACGCATGGCCTCGTGAAAAGAAATTTTTAATTCTCTTCACTATGTAAGCATGTTTCGAAATTAATAATTAAAACAATGAACAACTTTTTCATGGCACTTTAAAGAAATTTGAAATAACAATGCTTTTATTACAGCTAAAGATGTTTTGCTGGCAGTGAAACATGGAGCTTCAGCGGTTTGGGTTTCTAATCACGGTGGACGACAACTAGATGGAGTTAATGCTGCCGTAAATAAATTTCGTGCTTATAAATCACGCATATTCTACTGTGATTAAGCTTAAAAATACATATTTTGTTTAAAAGCTTAAAAATCTATATTTTGTTTCAATATATTGTCAAAACTTGTTTTTATTGAATTAATTCATTACTGTAATAAATATTACTTCAATCTTTTAAATGCAACATACTCCTTGCAATTTCATTATATCGTTCTTATTAATAACTCAAACTAAGAGTAGTATTAGTAGATAATACAGCGTGGTGTACTTATTACAAAATTATTTATTGTAAATGTTGATTTGAAAATAAACTAACTAGGTGTTGCTTAAAATACATACTTTGAAATTATTTTTGGAATAGGGACGCTAATTGTAGTAACTTTGTTAGGTTACACTTTAATTGAATGTTAGGATTCATTCTTGTTCTTTTAACGAATTTGTTTCTAACCATTTAAATAAGTCTTTAAAACAAATAATTATGATAATAATGATGTAGTACGCATGCCCTCAAAGTTTTCATTCAAATTTTGGTTGTTTCTTATTTAATATTAGAGCAAGACCGAGGGCAAAGACGGTTTTAGAAAAGCCCCTACTGGGTTAGTTACCGTACTGGATTAACGATTTTAAGTTGGTATCGCCTTTTTTTCGGGGGCGGGGAGGTGGGCAGAAGTGTTTTTCCAATATTTTTGACTTAGAGAATGCAGAAAGTTCTAAAAACTACAAAGAAATGTCTTTCTTGGTGACAGCTAATTTTTTGGTCTGCAGAAATGAGCCATAAAATTGAATTCCGTTACCTTATTACGAAAACGATAAGTAAATCGCTAATGAATAAATCTCAAGCGGCAGGAAGAATAGAGGATAGTAGACAGCCATAAACAGGAAAGCGCACACAGCAATGAGCGAAGAAAGCAAGAAATGGGTTAGTGGTAATATCGTGTTCAAATGACGAGCGTCATTTAGCCTAGGACTGAATCTTGAGTTTCCGAGCAAAAAGGAAACTTGGATTTTCCTCTCAGGTAGATGGACGCTATCGATTTGAGCAAAATGAATTTTTAAGATCCCAGCGTCAATCTTAAAATGTTGTAAAAGAAGGTGCCTAATGCTTCCTGCGAGATGGTCGGGCAATGTCTGTGATACGAACATCTTCACGCTACGTCCCTTCCTCTATCCCGGAAGATCTGCGTTTGGGAGCGTGATCTTCATCCAGTTGTTTGAAGGATGTTCATCTGGCTCAGCAAGAACTTTGACCTATGACTATTTTTCCTTCTCTTAAGTAATATGTAATTTGGTGAAATTCCATACTTCTTCCTGTTAATATTTGAGATATGCAAACTCGTTTATTTTGCCAAGTATTCAAACTGTTTAAGTCTGTAGTTTAGACTTTTTTTACTAAATATATGTTGATATTCTACTATCTAAAAGAAAAAAAATGTAAAGTTAAACTATTTAAGTATTGTATTTATTTTCTAAGATATGCTGGTCCTTACTGGGTTTTAAATTTTACATTAGGTAAAGACCTTTTTATTTAAATGGAGGTAATAAACACTATACACTATTTAATGTTACATTATTAAAAGGCAATGAAACTTTTGATCTTTCTTACACAAAGCAGTTCCCTTTTCATTAACAACTTTCTTTTAGGTTTTAACAACAACTTTATTAGTTTTCAGAATTTCATAATATTCGTCACAAGTATTGTTTTTTCGAAGAAAATATTCCAACAATCCGTTCACATCTAAGCTTTTTCCAAGGCTAAGCCTCGGATCAATTGGAATTAGTATTTTCACTGGCAATATTTCTATCTTTAGCGAATAGGCGAATCTAATTTACTGAACAATCCATTAAAAATACTCTTATGTGTACGCTATTTTTAGCAGTATAACAATAATCTGACATTAAACTAAATTAATGAACTCATAATATTGAGCATTTTCTATCCTAGAGGTTCTAATATAAAAATTCAATTTGCTTATTTTGACTAATGTTTTCCTCCCATTTCTTTTTATTAAGGGATTACTTTAACATAAACATTATTTGTTTTCTAAATGTAACTTGATTTGATTGCTAAATTTGCAGATTTTTGCAGCTCGATGCTCTTCCTGAAATCAGTGCGGCCCTTGCCGGAACTGATTGTGAGATCTATATGGATGGTGGTATTCGATGGGGAAGTGACGTTTTTAAAGCCCTAGCTCTCGGTGCCAGAGCAGTATTCATAGGGAGACCTGCATTATGGGGCCTTGCTCATTCTGTAAGTTAATCTTTAAATATTTCATAAATTTTGCCAAAAATACGAGTTTTTTTTTTTAATTTTATTTTCGTAGGTTGAAGGTTTAGTTTTTATCTTAATTATACTTATTATTGTGTTCCATTATTCTTATAATTTCTACTTGAGTTTGGTTTTAGTTTAAGTTGCCTAACACGGATTTTTAAATTCATTCAATTTCCAGGTTTTTAATTTACTTAGTATATTATCAAATATGAAAAACTAAGCAGTTTCATGGAATGTACGGGCATTCTTATTTGACTCCAAGCTAAAAAAACGATTGAGATTTTACACGCAATCCATCCTATACGGAATTCACAAAAGTATTATAGTAATTTATGACAACAGCGTGTGCAAATTTTCATCAACAAATTATTTACATTATAGGAACAAATTATAAATTTGTCCCATTATAGGAACACATTTTATGGAACAAAATAATTTTTATTATAGAAACAAAATTTTTTATTATTTTATTATAGGAACAAAGTTATTTTTATTATTTATATTTCCATTATAGGAAAAAATTATAAATTTGGGGAAATAATGGAACAAATTATTTCCATTATTTCCACATAGGTTGAAAATTCGTCTGCTTGGTCTTCATTATCACGCATATGTCATTTTTGTGTGGCATGAAGCAAGATTTACAGGCCTTTTTAAATTTACAGTGAAACAAAATTCACGCGTATAATATTCTCTTACTCTATCATATCTATTATTCGTACCCCTTCTTATCAGGATTCTTGGAAACATATTTGAAGAGAAAATCTCCAAAATTTGTGGAAATAGCTAAAAATGAAATATGTAACGGCAAAAAAGAATTCTTTTAAAATCTTGCGATCGCTGCTTTTTTCCATTTTTCTTCATTTTTCTATCGTATCTGCACTGGTATTAGGTAATCATTACTCTTGTACAGATTCAACTAAGCATTTCTCTGATTCCAAGCATGTTTCCTTCTTTCACTTCGTTTTTCATCTTTTCTCATGAATGGCGAAGAAAGAGCCTTTAGCACTTCTAAGTATATCATTTAAATGAAAACGTATTGTGCTTTTAGTTAAAAATAAGATAGCAATTATAAATCATTTAAAAATTTGAAACAGCGAATGTATTAGTTTTTGAAAAGACTGTATGAAGTGACTGACTTGAATCCTAAGATAGCTTTTATTATTGCAAAATTAGCAGAGAATATTTATAGTTTAATCTTTCTAATGAAGATAATTTTAAGCAACAGATGGCGAATTTTACTGTACTTTTGAACTCCTCAAAACGACTACTTATAAAAATTGTACCTATTCAAACTGATCATATATGTCAAATATGAAAATAGATAAAAAACAGTTTATGATATAGAAATTACTCAAATTCTTAGAGTACAGAAACTTCTGTAAATGTAGTTGAGCAAATGTAAATGATTAGTTCGAAAGAATGCAACTTATTTTATTAAAGTTTTACATTAACGAATGTTGTGTTTGCAATTTTTTTCAAGTTAATAAAGGATTATATACTTTGAGATATGGAACATAATTGCTAATTATTCTACTTGGTTTAATAAAAAACGTAATTGAATACAGAAATGAAATACCTAATGCTGAAAGAGAAATTTGTATTTAATAAACTTAAATTGCCTGCCATTAAAATTCCAACACCATGACGTAAGTAGCTGATCGACGTGAAATCTCTATAATAAATAAAATTTGGTTAGACATGAAAAGGATTAGCGGTGAAACACATACGCAAATAATGAACATTTGTAACAGTACCTAGAAACCTAGAAAAGGTAACAGTACCTAGAAAAGTAGGTTTTGCATGCATGAGTGTGGTTTCCTTCTTGCTTATTCGACTAGAAGTGAGAATATACCTCAAGGAAGAAGATAGAAATTCCAAATGAATGTATCAGAATTGATTCCAGGAGACAAATAGTGAATTTTGACTTCAGCTTATCATACCACCAAGCTGCTCGCACTGGTCGAAAGTCGACCACTTTCGTGTGACTACGGAAACGATGAGACCAGATACTACATTCATAGTGGTGACATATAGGCTCATTACGACCTCCACGCAACAATGTATGATTTGGCAGCATCTTGTGCGAATGGCCTGCGTGAACCGTACAATATTTCGCACACGTTTGCACAGAAAATACGGTATGTGGCATAATAAGAAGTGTCTGCATATTGGGTTGAAAGTTCGTCTTGTTAGTTACGCAGTGTTTACACGGCGGTCATTGCTTTTCTGCCTTTAATGTTAAAGCACATGCCTCTCCAGCTATAGTGTTCACTGAACGACGCACATTAACGCATGAATGATACAATTTCAACTTCTTAGACGAATTTGCTTCTGCTTGCACATTTCATGACGAACACGCACACATATGGCGCTGCCGTGAGCAGCTTTTGTTGGAAATTTCCTTATGCGTTATCATATCAAGTAAGCGACGGGAATTATTGGATATACCAGCCCCTCCACTTGTCATAGGTATATCTGGCATTCTTACCAGTCCGTATTACATAACAGACGTCCTGTGCCTTTACTATATCTTCAAGAACACTCCAGAGAAAAGAAACAAGACAGTTGCGACCGCACACCCCGCTCAACGTTAGACACTTCCTCGACAAAGCAATAGTTTACTGTTCTGACTTGATAGATGTTTTCATCAGATCTTTACTGAACTGAACTTGCCTATGATTCACACATTATTATTGAACTATGATACGCTAACGCTAGTGGAACAAACACCATCAGCGGCTACAACAGATGAGTTCTAGCTCCGAATGACAACTTTATGGACTCAGTTTTCCAAAATGCTATTCAAAATTACTTCGATTCTATGCCTCACCTTATAGCACAGATTATTATTGCACATTATTTTTATGCTTGGTGATATCATTCTGTTTGTTCTACATAGCTGAAATTCAATCATTTTATATTTGTATTATCTGTAAATTAAACTTATATTGTGTTATCATTTGTCCCTGCTATTGCTGCAGTTTAAATGGCAGCAGTGTAGTAGTGCAATAACTTATAAAGAAATATTTTACATTACATTGGTTTTTATTTAGCTATGAAAGTTTATTACCCATTTAAACATTTCTCGTCCCATTCAGTTACTTTAATGGGATCATATTACTAAAACTGATGTAATTAGACAGCAAAGCTTGGAAATGCACGTTTTATAATATCGCAATATACACATGATAAAATTTCTACTTTGTAGTCACCTGTTCGCTATGACATCCAAATGTTAAAATATTTATTAAGCGTATAAATTTTGTATATGGTTAAAAAATCCTCTTTCAGCAATAATAGAAACAATTGAATCGTAACGTTTTCTGAAACATTTACCGCTCAGCTAATGAATTTGAGAAATATAATCGGATATTTTATCATAATGATTTCTTAATTGTAATTAACAGTTCTTGAACAAATCGGAGTTGAGCCTTTCATGTGGTATATTTTGAAAATAACAAAGTAGCAAGTCTGTGATGAAATGAATTACAGAAAATGTGTGATCGAGACACAAGAGAAACAGGCCGACGTTGAAAATAAAACAGCCAAATCGACAACCTTGTATTCCTGGTAGATTCGGTAAAATCCCAATCGATTTCGAAAGTAAAACGAATCCTGATGAGGATTTTTGCAGAATTTTTGCTCCGTTTTACCCTCGAAATCGATCGGGATTTTGCAAAATCTACGCCGAATACAAGGTTGTCGATTTGCCTGTTTTATGTGTGATCGAATTTGATTTCCAAAAAACATACATAAATGCATTTTCGTTTTATTTCATAAAAATATAAACGATGAAAACCCGCAACACGGAAACTTTTCCCTGTATTTAAAAGCCAAGTAGGAACTTATATTGCGTTATTCAATTCGTTAGCAATCATATGAAGAATATTAGCCTCATGTTTGATTTTTAGTTATTATGTAAACATAGCATATTGTTATGATTAAGTAATAATTTTTAGATCAATTTGAAGCACTTGTGCTGTAAATCGTTCAAACTAAAAATAATTTTCACGATTAGTGGATAATTTTCACGACTAAAAATAATTTTCACGGTAGTGGCATTACCACTACTGAATACAAATCTTTAGCTTTTAGGGTATTCTGTATTTCTCAATGTGAAGATTATTCTGCGTTACTTTAAACGTATAAAGCGTATATTTTCACTTTTCGTATCCCAGTTGTCTATTCGAATTGCTAGAAAAACCTAGTCATTCCTTAATTTTAAAATTTTGAAAAGAATAAATTTTAATTTTTGATTACTCATTGCACCTTTTTTTGCATTTAAACGAATTGAAGTTGGTAACATTATTTTACTTTTGCCATCCTTAGATATGATTACATATTTCCACTTTTACCCTCAATTTGATATTCAAATGTCTTTAAGTTTGCACATACAGGCTGAATCAGAAAAATGGTTAAATGTTGATCTCATTGAGAGATGTCAGTCTTTTGGTTACGGGAAATGAGAGAATATCATGAGAGATTCAAGCTCCAAAACAACGCAAAATAATACTAAACACTTTCCTTTAATCATTTTTGCCAGCATTTTCTTCAGAATTACCGATAACTGCTACAAGTCTCTGAATGATGTTTTCTTTTCTGAATTTGCCCTTTTATAAGCTGCAATTTTATCCGCTTTACTCCAGTCACCGTCAATATTGCTGCATTATAATCATGCCTTCCTTACCTCATAGCTTTGCTAAAATTTTAGATGCAGTAGCTACACTGCAATTCTAACAATTCTAAAATTATATGAAAAAAAATTGGTGTTCTAAAATATATGAAACTTCATTATCATAAAAGTGAGCCAGCAAATAGAAGCTACACCTTTGCATCTTAATAACTTTTAACGGGGGAAAACATGATGCCAAGTGAGACATCAGAACTGGAAACTCAGTTTAAAAGAAATACTACAAATTCCGAAACAAATTTAACTTAATTTTATTACATATTTAGTTTGAATATGAAATGCGAAAATATGCTATTTTGTTTTCACGAATCTTTTATTCTTAAACAATTTTTTTCCACTGCACCAATGCCGCTTTTCTTCTAAAAAATAGAAGTTCATAATTTTAGTGATTTTTCTTTCTTTTAGCTTTTGAGCACTTTTATCTGCAACGTAATAAGTAATTATTATCTTCTATGATATGAAATAATAAATAATTCTCATTATGCGAGATAAAAATAAACGTAACTTATTTTTGTTTATATCTTTTGGAATGTTAAATTTGCAGAACTTGTAACTTTTGGAAGTTACCAAAACAGTTTGACTATTTCATACTAATCACAATTATTTGATTTTTAAACAAAATTAAATTACTTCAACGTAAATTAATAAGTTCGGCAAAATGTGTGTGATTCTTTAATTCTTGGAGTTCTGTTAACTCTAAACAGCTACTATTCCTTCATTAGTCCGTTTTCCCAGTTTTGGGTGATATTTCTCATCGAGTCTCCTACCAATTTATAGTTACTAAATTTTTATAGTTACTAAACTCACGACTATCGAAGCGCTATAAGACCTAATGTTAATTTTGGGCATAAGGAACAGGAAGGACGTTTAAAACCTTTAATTTCAAATTTATTTATTGCTTGCGCAAACAGTTCAAAACACACAATTCTTTGAAAAACAGCAATGTTTAGTAATTTAGTGTTTTTGCTACAAAACTTTTAAAATGAGTATATAATTATCAATTATTATGTAAATTTATTGTGTAATTGTAAATGCAGCGTAGATTATAAACATTCTGTAACTATGCATGTGATAGCTGATTCAGACAATTCTCAGGTCGTTGACAAAAAGAATATAAGAGATAAAACTTGTAATAACAGAAATGGTTTGCAGAATCAATCTAATAAGGAAACACTGCGTAATCTTTACTTTTATGAAAGAAATTACGACACGATGGTAATTAAAAACATTAATTCAAAGCGTTTTGGAAGAACTGAAAAAGAAGATCACTAGCCTCTCATATAAGAACTATGATCATAATATATAGTTTATGTTTGTCCCTCTACAGGTCTTGCTGATATAGCTCCAAATATAATTTTTCATTTGACTAGACGAGAGATTTCCTTTGAAGAACTTGGTGTAATCGGGAGCAATGGAACTAGAACTAATACTGGTTTAAAAAATGGTATTATCTATCAAATCGAATTACGCATTGGGAGAAAACTGAGGGAGCTATATGTCCCTACACTTCAATGAACTTGATCTATTTTATCATTTGGGTGGTGCTATCGCAGGGTCCAAATATGTTAGCACTATTTTTTCGCTGGCTTTATGCTTTTTACATGTTGATTTCTCCATTCTTCAAGCTGACAGAAAAATTTTGAGCAAAGATTAATTATACTTATTTGATACTTTTGTTACCATAAAGTCAGGTACAATTTTAGAAGTTTTAGTAGCTCATGATCCTGTTCCGATTTGTAAACAACATCAAATCGAATTATCAGACTTTAAGTGAGCTTAGAGAAACATGCTGATAAAATTAGACAGTTGATATATGTTATTTGAATTGTTACATGCTTCTCTGGTTTAAAATCAAAACCATTAAAACTGTCACAGACAGTCCAAATATATAAAATTAGGTAAAGCAACAATCTTTTGTTTTGCGTAGATTTTACTTAAGACTCAAAACTCAAGGCTAAATACAAAGTCGTTGCTTTGCCTAATTTTCAATAATACAGCTGAATGCTTTTATTGATCATCCTGAAAAGTTTACCTTTGCAATGAACGTAGATTAAAGAGGACATATCAGAGAATAAGGTTTGCTCCGATTGTTGAAAGCTGATCACTTTCCAAGAGAAGACTTTCAAAGCTTCACAATGCTAAAACTCAGCTTCAAAATAACAAACTACATCAGCATGATTTGCTGGAATGTTTTCTTCCCCACTATTAAGAAATATTACGAATGAGGATATCAAAAATCTATTAAAGACTGTCACATCTCTGCAACCAGATTTCCAAAGCTTCCCTTGTCACACCCTGGCTATAGAACGATGTATCAAACTTGTGACAAAAGCATCTTAAACGGTATGTAGTGCTGGATTAAGAGACGGCCTTAATTAGGACGACCTTCTTACCCTTAGTAAGCCAGAAATTTCCGTAAAAAAACTAACTTTAAGGTGGCCCGTTTTGAATAACAAAACTACAAATTATAAATATATTCTCTGTTTGTTTATTATTCAGCGCTAAGCTACTCAATGGTTTTTCGCAAAACAGCAAGTGCATTGGTTAATGTCCTCACAAGTACACCGTTGTATGTTCGTGTTGAGCAAGAAGAAATAATCTAATCAGTATTTCATCTTTTCACTTCCAGAAGGTTTTCGATGAGTGGCATAATCTAAACAATTATGAAATGCCAACGATGACGCTACATGTTCACCCAGCACTTAAATGCAAGGTATAAACACACATCTGCACGATTATGACATCTCCACCAATAACACTCCGACTATACACATGAATGCCTTACATATGGAAGACAACGTTGACAGCGCACTAATTCTTCAGCATGGAAATGAAACCTTATATTTCTGGAAGCAGTCACTAAGCGGTACTAACATCGTATTTCAGGCAGAAGCAGTAGCTATTTCGACAGCTATCTAGTATATCTATCAGAGAAACCTAGAGGAAATCTACATCGACACAGACAGCATTTCAATTCTTCTGTCTATTCTCAACAATCCGTACATATCTTCTATAATTACGCAAATTCAGAGAGATTTATGGAAGCATCAACATCATAACATCACGCTCTTCTGGACAAAAGTGCAGCTGATGTGAGTGGAAACACAATTGCTGACAGATTAGCCAATGAAGCAACATCAGTAAAAATTCATTATCCCTAACAACACTTTAGTCTTGCTCATGCTTGAAGAAACAAATGAAACGCACAAATCAAATGGAAAACAGAGTGGGATGAATGTGAACAAAGCTGTCGCACATACTACTACATCACATATGTAGACGAGAAACGCAACTTCACAAATGTAGACGAGAAACGCAACATTACAAATGTAGACGAGAAACGCAACATCACAAATGTAGACGAGAAACGCAACATCACAAATGTAGACGAGAAACGCAACATCACTTCCCTGCAATTAACAAGATTTATTACAAACCATAACCCCTTTACCGAAGAGACGGCGTCAGCAACATCGACTTCATCTGTGGAGAAACTGGTAGCCCGGACCATTATCTTTACTGTCTGCCTACTCACCAGAGAGCACCACCTTAAAATCCTCAGTAACAATAATTAAGGCTTCTCAACGTTTATGGTAAAGCAGTGTCATCAGGTAGCAAGGATCGCCAGAGTTATCGACAAGCATACAAAACTAAAAGCCGACTTATGCCTCTGCAATGCTTTAAAATTTTATTTCACCTTTATTTATTGGGGGAGTTTAACAATAACAGTGCCTAGAATAATAATCTAATATTCACTCAGTTGGTTTCTATTTCTGTTCTACTACTATATTTGGATGGCTTGTAATGTACATTTGTAGATTTCTGTAAAGCCTATAAAATGTTATCTTTGTAAAGTGCATTTGTAATGTGTACTATTGTTAGCGTTATGCTTTAAGTAATTTTTGTATCTGAAACAATGTAATAATTATGTAACTATGTCACAACGGCTACAGGATGTTACATTATATTGTAGCCGTGTGATACATAGTTATTTAATGTACTCCTGAGGCTAGATATACGGGGACGCGAATCAATGCTACCTAATCTCTTGCTGGAATGATGGTGTCTTCGTCTCTCGCCAGCTGTTTGTTTACTAAAAATTAAAAGAGTAAATTATCAGAAATTAAGAACTATTGTTATTTTCACAAAAATAAAACATTGTGTCTTTCAGCCTTTTGAGCAAATAATAAATTGAAATTGCAGATTTTAAACATTTTTTTGTGTGCCTCAAAACTTACATTAGGACCTACAGCCTTTCGGTAGTAGTGAGAAAAAAAATGCCGAAAATTATTAAAATTTTCACCATTTTTCAAAACTTGCAATGCGGGAGTGGAAGATATAATTTTAATTGAATTTCCTTTTTCCATTTTGCTGAACTATGCGATAGTTAACACTTCCGGTATATAAAATTATTAGAAAAAAAATTGGCCCACCATAATATACTAGTCTTTCAAATTTATTTTTAATTTACTTATAACTCGCATGTTTTTTCAGTCACATTTTTCTCTTTCCAGGGACAAGATGGTGTGCGTCATGTACTGGAAATTTTAAAAAGTGAACTAGACAGAGTAATGCATCTAGTTGGTATGTGATATTTTTTCCAATATTTATTATTTTGAGGTAATAACTTAAGTGCTAACTAAATTATTATACATATTTTTTGTACTACGTTCTTCACGTATATCTGTTATCTATTAAAAATTAAGAATTGGTAAATCAATATTACAATAAGAAATTATTATTTCGGAAGCAAAATAAAAATTAGTCCAATAACATTTAAAAATATTGAAGCAATTTATAGCAATTGAAGACTTGCATTCAAAAAGTGACCACTTTCACTGATTTGCATTTAATGTTTAGATTCACTTCATTTATAGAGAAAGAAAATAATAATAATAAAACAAAACAAAAAATCTGAAAGGTTGCAGATTTTAAATTACGTCCAAAGGAGCGTTTTTTAACGTTTAAATATGACGCTCTTTGCACTTAAACAATAAAATTCAGTTCAATAGCAATGTCGCAAAATAATTTTAAAATGAGCATATCTTTAGAATTCCCGATACACAGTCTTCGGCGCTGGAGATAATTTTTTTTTCCATACATTAGTGCCATCCCTCAATTTGAAAGCTTGAGTTTTCAATCGAAAATTTGTTCAAGTTTTACAAAATATGAAAGAGATAATAAAACAGATTTCAAATTCGCTTCCAGATGCCCATATTCGAGTGGAAGACATGCAAAATTTATTGTCTCTAGGTTCTGTTGTTTCTTCACAGTTTGAGTATGCATTCATGCAGATTCTTCATTTCCGATACATAGTTCCGTGGGCTGAAGATGAAAAGGTCCCCTCCCTATAGAGTGTTGCCATTGCTCGCTTTTAATCATCGAGTGTGTTACTCAAAAATTCGTTAAAGTTTTATAAAATATGAAATCGATCATAAAACAAATTCCAAATTTCAAATTTGATCTTCCACATGCCCATATTCGTAGGAGGATTACGTCATTCAAATTTCGATGTACCGTTGTTTTATCACAATGCAAGAAATAGTATACATACATTTATGCAGAATTTTCATTATTTAATATCTTCAAACATAATTCAAGACTCTAACATTTGGTGGCAACAGTTTGAAAAGGGAAACAGACATTTATAATGATTCAACGCAAAATCGCAAAACGAAAACAAATAGTATCTTTTAATTTAATAAGTTGCTTCATACTTTACAGCAACTTTATGCAGTTTACGTATATAATAATGTTTCAGAAGTGTCAAACATTGTAAAATATCATTTTTAATCTATCTTCTGTATTATCTAACAATTAATTGTGAGTAGTGTTTATTGAAAATCCGTAAACACATGCTAGAGCTTGATTCATAATCGTCAAGAGGAGTTAATGCTTTTACTAACATAATTTCTTTAAAGCATTATTTGATATAACGACTCCGTTCTTAACTACGAAAAATCAATCAAATAAAACTTTTAGAATTCCAAATGTACGCTAGCATTAACTGACGATTGCAGAATGTTAGATATTCAAGAAATGATTCAAATTAATAAATAAAGGCTTTTCAATGAAAAATTTAAAAATTAATTTATTGTCACGAAAATCTCAAGCTTTATTTATTGAGGAGTTTTAAACTGAATATGTTTAGCTAATCGGAAATCATCGAAATTTTCCAGAGTTTTCTTGATTAGAATTTTGAGTCTGTTTTATTATCGATTTCATATTTTGTAAAACTTTAACAAATTTCTGATTAACAAACTCAATGATTTAAAGTGAGCAGTGACAATACTGTACGGAAAAAAGATTTTTATCTCCAGCCGCCGCAAGACCGTCTATCGGAAATTCTAAAGATATGCTGTTTTTAAATGTATTGTGATACTGCTGATGATTGAATTTTGTGGTTTAAGTGCGAAGAACATGATATTTAATAAATAAATAAATGTAACACACAAAAAGTTAAAAAATGATTGATTTACTTACTTATTTTTTTTCGTGCACTGTAAATGGTAATAGTGTATTTTAAAATCAGCGTTGTGTCACGATTAATTTTTTCCCAAATTTAAAATGCAGTAACCATTTTGGTTCACTTCAAATATAGAGAGTTTGAAGTTTTATTTCATGGCCCCAGTTTGTAAATGCTATTAAATATGATTATTACCTATCAATAAATAGTACGAATCAGCATATTTTATAATTAATTTAAATACTAATAAAAATCATACTTGGAATTCAGCTACTTAAGTTGAAGGTGTGAAAGTTTTATATTCTGTGCTCATTTTTCTCTATTTTGGATCGGGAAATATGAATCTTCAACTGTGTTGATCTGGATGCGATCTATGGATTTTTATTCTTGATAGAATGACTTGCTAACCACTCACTCATGAGAGCATGTACAGGGTATTGCGATAATTTCTTGCAAATTTACCTCATTGAACCAATTTTCTATAAATACTAATGTGCTACTCGAGTATTTTTATAAATTGTTAAAAACGTATTTCAGGTATTGTACACTTTTTCAAAAATGGAATTCCTCTGCCCTTTAAGTTGTTTAATTCCTATTACTTTTTAATATTCTAGGATGCAGCAGCATAGAGGATATTGGACCACATTTCATGAAGAAGAAAGAAGTCTCTAAAATTTAAAAAGAGCATCCAAAAGAAGCTAAATTTTCTGAAATTAAATTTATCAATATCATCTACAGCTGTGATAACTTTACCTGTGATGCAAATGCGAAAGTTCCAGTGTATAAACTGTACTATTAATTAAGTGTAATATGTTTACTTCTGAAACAAAATATTGATAATTTAGTACAATAAAGCACATTATTAAATTAATTATCTCAACTATTACATGCATGGTTTGTCCCTCAATCCATTTGTAGAAAACAAAATGTTTTTCAGAGTTTAAAACCTCGAAGTATTCTGAACTTCTTACCGAAGCAGAAAGCAACAATTTTTTTATTAGCCTAAAGAGGCAATTTGCTCAGAAGAAGTACTAATTTCATTTTGGCATTTCATGCTGGTTCACTAAAACGACGTTTCACTTTTCAAATTGTTGCCATAAAATATTGAGCCGTGCGATATATTGAAAGAAATTAAATAATAAAGAATCTGCATGAATGTATGCTCGCACTGTGAAGAAACATTGTTACCTATAGACAACAAATTCTGAATAACATAGTCCTCCACTCAAATATGCGCATCTGGAAGCGAATTTAGAATCTGTTTTATTATCTCTTTCTTTTATTTTGTAAAACTTGAACGAATTTTTGATTGACAACCTCACGATTTCAAATTAAGGGATGGCACTACTGTATGGGAAAAAAAACATTTTTTTATCTCCAGCGCCGAAGACTGTGTATCGGGATTGCTAAAGATTTTCTATTTTAAAATTATTTTGTGATATAGTTGTTGAATTAAATTTTAGGGTTTAAGTGGGAAAAACATGATATTTAATAAATAAAGGTAACACACAAAAAAGTTTAAAAAATTCCCCTTTGGGCTTAATATAAAATCCGACAACTTTCAGATTTTTTTATAATTTTTTTTTCATTTACTTATCATCATTTTTGTTGAAATTTTATGAGAATTCATTTTAGTGCATGTTCAATGAAATAAAATAATCGCAATCTGAAACGTTGCAATTTGTATCTCCTTTTCAATACATTATTGCATATTACGGGCTCGTAAAGATTTTTTTTAAAAACCTATGCCAGCTAGAATGGGAGAAATTAATTCTGATTTTTTTTTTTTTTTTTTTTTTTTTTTTTTTTTTAAATTTTGAAAGCTTTCCTGTTTTATATTAAGCCCAAAGAGGCATTTTCTTCATTTACTCACACATACATGTTTCGAGAGCATTTCTATTTACACCCATTTGGGTTAAAATTATTGAAAAATAGCGTACATTTCAGAATTTCTGATAGAGAGACAAAATACATATGGAGACAAAAATGTTCTATTCTGAGCAGTGTTGCCTCTGCTTGCTTTAAAATTGCTGACTTTTTCAATCAAAAATTCGTTTAAGTTTTTCAGAATATGAAAGGGACAATAAAACAAATTCCACATTCCAAAGTCGGACTTCCGAGTGCCCATGTTCGGGTGGAGGACTATGTTATTCAAAATTTGATAATTTTAGATACCGTTGTTTTTTCACAATGCAAAAAACATACATACACGCATTCGTGCATATTTTTCGTTTTTCAATTTCTTTAAACATAATACAGGCGATAATATTTGGGGGGCAACTATTTGAAAAGTGATTTAACGCTTTTAGTGATTCGATGCAAAATGCCGTTTCGAGACTAATAGCCCTTCGGGGTTAACGCCTCTTTGGGCTAATACGAGTAAATAGCAACTTATAAACAGCCTATCGAAGAAACATAGAGATAAGGTAAATTTTGCTTAACAAAAGAACATTTCTGATCAGCAAAATTGCTTTCATAATAAATTCTGAAGCAATATTCGTCGAGAAGCAGCTCAATATACTCCCAAGTTTGTTAGGTAAAATGAAATCTGTTTAATATAACGTAATAAAGTATTACCAATTTGATTAAAAAATACCTCGCCTTTCCAGGTTTCATAATTTGAAATAGAATGCATTTATTAGTCTTTAAATCTTTTGCTAAATTTTCCATATTTCACATCTTGAATAAAAAGTGGTCTATTTGTATTCGTGAATGTCAGTCTGAAAGATTAATTAGACTGAAAGAATAACACTTAATCTCGTTTTGGGTATTCTTTCCTGTAAGAATTTGTGTAAGATAATTAAATTTTGAAATTTCTAAAAAGATTTCAGATGCCGCTCATTTAAAACACGCAAAAGTCTTACAATATTCTTTCTAAGCATAAAATGTGTGATTTATGAAATGAACTTATGAGCTTCTACTTGAACTTAAGTCTTACAACCTAATAGACAAGTAGCGAGTCACCGCTAAAACTGAAACAGTACGATAAAGACTTGCAAAGGTTTTAAACAAGCTTTTTATTTAAAAGAACTTTTAACAAACTAGGCACAATTCGTGTTGTAGATAAACCACTATTAGCAGCGATGTAAAATTAACAATGACACTTAAATTTAAACGTTAATAATAAAGTAGTCCAAGATTACACGGTATCATCTGCGATAAAATGCAAAGCCGAGATAATTACATTTAGATAGAGCTGGCAGAACCTAACAGCGCACCGCGAGTGCCTGAAACTTCTCTCACTAAGATCTCGGATCTTCACTTTTGTAGGTAGTCTACTACCTTATAGCCTTTACTAAAGCATTTTTATCTCAACCTCTAAGGTCCACATAAGTAACGGCATTTTAAAATTTAAACCCGAGCACTGCATGCTAGAAAATCTTTTACGTACAACTGAAGATGAAATGTTGCATTTCTTAAAGTAGTTATAGCAATATCCGATAGCATTTTCATTTGAAGATGTTGCAGTTATACATACGACATAAAGCAGAATGATAAAATAAATTATAATATTTACAAGTCCCGAGTCATTTTAAGGTTCGCTTTGGGAGCGAAGCGTATTTGCGATTCCTATTTGTGTTGGCTAAGCCAATCCGCTGTCGTCTCTGTATCACTTAAATTGAAAATAACTAAGTCTATACCTGTTTAATCAGGTGAAGGTAAAGCCCAAAAAACTTACTTTACCGGGTAGATAATATGTAACAGTAAATAAGAAAATACGTTACAGAGCAATAAAACGATGCAGAGATATCAGTAGTTACCAATTTGGGGATTATAGTGACCTGTTCTTGGTCTCTAAATCTGCTTCTTCAATAATGGGGTCGTACACGCTGATGTTTCGAATTGTATCGTTTAGATCAGGGGTTCTTAACCCCGTGCCCGCAGGCATCAATGTGTCCGAGAAGTTATTTCTGTGCGTCCTCGACTGTCCGCTATATACTATATACAATGCCAAAAATCGCATTAAATGCAACTATTTTGAATTTTTTTTTACCTTTCTAATGTAGGGTATTATTTATGAAGCTTATGATTGCATAAAATAAAGAAATATTAAGAATCGTTGTACATTTTTTTACTGCACCCGCCAACATTTCCTATTTGTCAGATGTTCCCAGACGGGGAATAAGATTAAGAACCCTTGGTTTAGATGATAGCCACACTTTGTATTTGTATAGCCACACTTTATTTCTTCATCTAACAAAGGAAGAAGAAAGGACTGGGACTCCTTGCCTAATTTTGCTAATTAGTCAACTAATTAAAGCAGCTAATTGGAACTAACGGATTCGGATTTCTGAAGTGTCAAGGATCAGAGAGACAAATCTTTCTTAATTATCGGACGTGTATAACCCGAGATAACAATTTTGTGCTAATTCCGGACTTTGAAATTTGATAACTGCGCGTTATTGCTTATATGCAAAGGTGTGGTGAATGTTATGTGCGTGTGGCTATTTGTTTGGATTACGTGTATATAGAAGCAGACCAAGACAACAGAGAAGCGATATCGGCCAAGGTAGGCTTTAAGCGCTGATTAAGTAACTAATTAATTTTAATTACAACCTACCTAATCTTAACTTCTGGTAATAAATCTTAACTAGTACTTTAATAATACTGTTACAGACCCAAGTTTGACATAGGTACTTTTAGACTCTTAATTCTTGTCGTTCAGTTCTCTATTCTAATTAATTACTGTTAATTAACTGACCAAATAACAGTATCCTTATAACAGTTCTGGTACTCTGGCCAAATTTATCAAGTATCTGTTACCATGTATTTATGTGTTTTCAGGCTACAGATTTAAAAGTGTTTCACCGTTGATTAACCGCCTCTAATTAAGCTAATTAACAGTGCTGATTTTGATTATTGTACTTCATACCTATATAACTCTGATTTTTGCATCTTGTATTCACTCAGATTTTACAGTATTTAAGTGACTGTTTACCAGATATTCGGTACTTTAATTTAATTAGTATTAATTGGTCCTATTCAATTAGCAATCCTCAGTTAAATTGTAGTAATTTTCTAACTCTTAGTGCTATTTACATGTTTACTTTGTGTTATGAGTAAATATTTAAGTATACCAGATTGTAATTTCCTGTGAACCAGACAAACTATCACATAGTGTACAATTAGAGTCTCCACGTTGGCATAAATAAGATAATACGTGTAATTACACAAGGTATTTAAGTGCCATTCTTTTTACAAAGTTATTACAGTGCTGAGTGAAACAGTGTTCTTTACAGTGAAAGTGTTTAATGTACTGTGTGTGCTAATTCAGTGATTAAACGTCAATTTACAAGCGTTATTTAGAGTCACATCCAGTGTTACAACGTGAGCTGATAGTGCATAACCACCAGTCTTCAGTTCACGATAAGTGTGTGTGCTATAGCTCAACGATTGTTAGTGCTTATATGTGCAAATTGTGTCAACAACAGTGCTAATAAGTGAATTAATCGTGCCCAGCCCCTAGTCAAAGCGTCGGTAAAGTATAGTGCGTGATTTAGTTCAGTGTTCAAGCAACGTTAGTGCATCTCAGTGAAAGTTATTATACATTTCAGTGCGATACAGTGCATCACAAGTGTAAATACGTGCAAATTGTTCCAATATCAATTTCAGTGTCTTTAAGTGAATGAATAGTGCATGGCCACTAGTTAAAGCCCTCAGCTAGAAATATAGTGTTTGTTGCAGTGACCAAGCAACGCTAGGCTTTGTTTCAGTGAAGTTAGTTTTCTCTTCAGTGATTTAAAGTGCGACACTAGTGTCATAGCTAGTGTGAATAGTATCGTACAGTGTTTTTAAGTGCATACAACGCTGAAATAAGCGTATTTTAGTGTACACATCAGTGTCAAGAGTGATTTCAATAGTGCATTATACGTGTTACCCAGCGAC